GTTTTAAACAACAGATTATTGCTATATATTTTTGTCTGAACAATAGCTTGTAAGAAAGTCAAGAAGGGATCGAAGCTCCTTTGCTCCTTTTGAAGGGCCTCTATAGGATCCCGTGATTCCACGGAGGCTAGTTATAACACCTGTTAGCTGTGCTTCCTTTCTCAAAAGACTCAGCTTCCCAAAAGACTCCATCCAAAAACATTGTCTTAGAAACTGAAAACTGTTATGTGAGCATAAATTAAAATATTGTAATTACTTAGGATAAATGCAGATCTGATAATCCTCTATAATGACTTGATATCCAAGGAGGTAAAGAACATTTTGAGTACAGCATAGACAGAATCAGGTCAACAACAGCTTCACTACTCCCATTGGCTCTCCATTCTGATGCTTTCCAGAAAGGCATTCTCTGAAAAGCACTGTAAGAAACTTAAGCAATGACTATCCCCCAGCAGTGTCACCTGATCCGGTGCCTGTCCTCTGGTTACTAGGGGCACTGTGCACATTATTTTCTCAGCTCTGCATTCAGTGGCTTTAGGTTGGTAGGAAGAAATCACATCACCTTGGGAGAATCTATGATAATAAAAGCATAATATGCTAATTAGACCAGATGTTCTTCTGGATGTCCTTCTGGGTGATCTTCCAGACAAAGCCAAGGCTGCAAGGGAAGCCTGGGTCCCAGGTGCCTGCCAGCAGCTGGAGGGAAGCCTGTGTTGGCAGCCAGAGGAAGGAAGGTCTAGTCTTGCATGAATTTCATGCATTGGGCCTCTAGTTTTACATAAAAATGCAATATTTACAAACCGGTGCTTTTTTTCCCCACCAGAGATGGGGTATACATTTGCCAGCACAACAATGCACTCTGGTATGTTCTAAGAAAAAAAACAAAAACCAGAGTTTTGAAAAGTAGTGGCATTCAATGGTTGAAGGTATTATGTTACCTTATCTCACTTTAGAATATCTCTCCTTAGAAACGCCTCCTTGGCATGTGAAAAGAACCTTGATTGTTGGGAACAACCTGTCATTGCATACAGGTTCCTAACAATAAAATAATTGGATTCAGAATTTATTCATATAAAACTAAAAGTTTTTGGTTCTAACAGCATACTGTATTTTATGAACTGATGTGAAATTAGTGTTCTATTTCATTTTCAGTAACTTTTCAATATGATTGATGTAGACTCTTAATGTGTTAATTTTTTAGAATGAATTCATATTTAAATATGACATGCTTGTTAAGAAAGTAAAATGGTAGCAAGACAACTTAAATAAATGCCTGAAATAACACCAAGCAATCTGAATTATTGCTCTGCACCATTGTTTGCTTTTTATGTAGATCCTTGCATTTGTTTTGCTGTTCAAATAGTCAAATGCAAAAAACCAAAACAACTTTAGAGCAATTGGTAAAAATAGGCATATGTTTGTGATTATGAGTCATGGAATATCAACCTCTATATCAAACCTATTTCAGTAAGTACAATTCAAATTTTAAGCTATCCAACTCTCAGCAGTACAATAAATTAAAACCTTATATTTAAATTTTGAATTCAATAAATCTTGTAGAAATATGTCAGCCTTAAATAGATACCTCTAGGTCAAGATTTAGGGGACAGGGTTAGGATTTCATATAATTATTATTTTACTAGAGGCTCGGTGCACGAATTTGTGCATGGGTGGGGTCTGGCAGGCCGGCCCCAATTGGGGCCCATCAGGCCTGGCCAGCCAGAAAGAGGGGATGCAGGAGGTTGGCCAACTGGCTAGCCCCAACCCCTGGTCGAACTCCTGGTCAAGGGGACAATTTGCATATTAGCCTTTTATTATATAGGATGTATTCACTCAACTTAGTAAAATACCAATAAATTTTTACTTTCAATAAAAGCTAATACATTTTAAGGAATGTGTGTGGACAATTACAGCATTTAATCCTTTCGGGGTCACAAATAAACGTGAATCAAAAATAAAAATAGTGGATTTAAATTTAAATTTCAGTAACTTAAATCCCTAGTCTTTCTGTGGTCAGTATACAGGATTTGCTCTTTTGAGGCTTCAGTTGTTGATATAGAAAAAAGGAAAAAGAAATGGTATAATTAATTTCTGTTGTTACAGATATAACTATAAATTCTATTATTTTAAGTTACCAATTAAATATAATCCTTAATCCTAAAAAATAATTTTGCTCTATTTCACATCCAGTCATTCATTTGTTTATGCCTTTATTCATGCACCCAAGATATTTTAAGAGTTTCTGCTATAGCCAGAACATTTCAACAACCATTATAAAAGATCACTTTTGTCTTCTGTACCATAATTTTAAGTTCATAATGTGGCATACACTTAAACTGAAATTTCTAGATCTTCAAAGTAAAGAACACCAACAGAATAAATTTGAATTAGGTAGGAGGGGGGAGAAACGGGCGCTTTGAATACTGAGTTACAGACATTTCACTATAATCCCGAATGCTACACATGATAATATATCAATTATTTATTCACCTGATTAAACTCTGAATTATATTAGACTACATTTTGCATATTAAGGTTTTTTCACAGTAAGAAATACTTGGGGATTAAGAAATTCATTATTATGTATAAGTGCATATTGAGAAGAGTTCAATTACACTAAAAATAAAACTGTTTGACCCTCAATTCAAAGTGTTCTTTTGGTATTTTGCAGATCATATAAAACTCAGCAGTTAGTACCTGAGTTTTTATACAGAGCTTCAGCTATGTCATAGGTGCTTTCCAGCATTCCCATTACATTTTGTTGCTGAATATTAGTCAGTTTTGACTAAAAGGTGTCCACATACTAAGCATGACAAGCTCAGGGAAGGTCTGCCTTGCAGCCTTACAAACTCAGAGACAGAAATTAACTGCATAGGATGGTCTGAAATTAAAACTTATTAACTAAAAAGTGAGTCATGGTGGATAGTCATATCCTAGATCAATATCTTCCCTGGCAAGGTCAATGGTTACTAACTGAGCTTATTGTCTTTTTGCATATAGGTACCTTTGGAATGTCAGAGTAATCCCCTTTTTTCCTTAGGGCACAGTCTTCCACTAGAGCAGAGACCATGGACCCCTCATTGTTATCTTGTTCCTCCCAAACCATCTGAATGTGCTTTAAATGTTAACTGTGTTTGTTTTTCTAATGTTTTAATTTATTTTTTTAAAGAGAAAGGCAGGGAGAGGAATAGAGAGATATAAAGAAACATCAGTGAGAGAGGAACATCACTGATCAGCTACCTCTTGCCTGCTGCCTCGTGGGGATTGAGCCTGCAACCCAGGTATGTGCTCTGAAAGGAACCGAACAGGCAACTTCTTGATTTCTGGGTCCGAGCTCAATCATTGAGCCACACTGGCTGAGTTAAACGCTAACCATTAACTATCCTGTATCTACAAATGTAAAAAAAGTATTTGTCTCTTCATTTTACTCCTTATCCAATCTCAAAGGTTTCTCCGCTTTCTCTTGCCTCCCTAATCTATCACCAATGGATTTCATACACTAGTAAGTTCCCCTCCCCCACCCTTACCTCTCTTCTTTTGATTGTAATGCATAAAATAAACAGCAAAACTGCCATTCTCTGGAGAGTTTTCTCTCTTGAGATTTTTCTTCTTGGCAAAATTGTCATCAGTTTGGCTCAAATAAAATCATAAAAATTCTCTACAGGTTTGGATGTTTCTTATGTTGACCAAAAACAGTTCTTGCATACCTGCTATTGTTTGGAAAGGTCAAAATAATACATTTTAGAAAAAAATTTATACTTTACATTTTTTATTTGCCTTTGGTTAGAAGGGAATTTTTGATTAAAGAGTAAATAAGCTGAAAAATTATGTTTTTCTACAATATATTCAATTGGTGCTGGGCTTAGCTGTAAAGTTGAAATAGTATATGCCCTTATAGGTGCTTTTAATATACAAGACAGTAATATGAGTATAAATATATAAAATAAAAGCATCCAAAGGGAAATTTAAATTTAAAAAGTGGAAACACTAAGGTTTGGGAAAAATAATTCTGGCTAGTAATAAGTTATTTATCTATTTAATTCAACAAATAGATATTGTGAGCCTATTTCACGCCAGACACTTTACTTAGGAGATAAACATACCTTCATGTTGCCAGTTTATTGTGAAACAGAAAAAAAAACTATATTAAATAGTAATGTTTGATGATGCCCTGATATAATACGTGCTCATGCAACTTAGAAAATGTAATATTTGAACTTTGTTTTGAAGGATTACTTGGAAGATTTCTTTACATGCTCCAATAGGTCTATGCCTCTAATTTTTCAGTCGATCTCCATGGGTACATTCAATTTTAAAAGGTCGCACATTATAGTATACATTTTTAAAGAAATACGTTCTTCTTTAGTTTAATTTGTAGTAAACTGATGAAAATAAAACCTGCGTATTTTATTCTAGTTTCTAGCATCCACTGACAGGTAGTATTGACTCTAAGTTGAAACTTGACTAGTATAAGATCAACCTTATACAGAGTTTCCTAGAGGAACTTTATTTCTTATTAACCACTTTTACAAATACAAACATATCATGTCATGATATTTTGAAATTCTTTAAAATTTCCCTTTGTCTGCATTCTAATTGCAACTACATTATTCTATGCTTTGTGTTTAGGAGTTCAGCTAGGTGCAACTTAATTAAACTAATATAGAGTGGCTATTCTTTAATCACTCAAATATGTAACACATAGTTCCAGAAAAATATCCCAAAGGAGTGATTATCATATGATGACCATATCCTCTCTTCGGTCGTACTGTAATTAAATTAATTAATAAAGTGGTTTTCCCCAAGTGGACTTGATTTAATGTGCCGCGTGCAATTAGTAGCTCAGGAAATGGAGATGAGATGATTTTGCTCATGGTTACACAAAACCATGATCCAAAGAACTTTGTAATAATACAAGTGAAGCAAAATATTTTATTTTTTAAAATAAAAGTGTTCTTTTTTGGAAAAGGATAGTAATACCACAAGAAAATATTTTTGACCAGGTCTACTAAACAGATATAACTCATATTTGTATTAAAGTTGCTCGAAGCAATAGAAGCTGTTTGGGAACATAAAATTGATTTTGTATGTTAATGTTAACAAAACACTTTTCACCAGTTTACAGGTAATATAACTTGAAGGTCAAAAGCACTAGTTCTGGAGCTGCCCCTCCTTGATTAGAATTTCAACTTGACCATATCCTGGCTGGCTGATTTTGGAAAAGTATATCATCTACATGAGACTGGGTTTCTGCAAATGTAGATATTATAATGGCTACATATTAGTGTTGTTGTGAAAGATTAATGAGTTATTCCATGTAAAACAGTAAGATTTTATTAACAGTTTTATTGTTATGTTAATAATACAGTTTATATCATTCTATTTTTCATTGAATTATATATATGAACATATAAGTCATAGATATTTACATGAAACTGTTGACTCATAACAGGATAGATACATATCAGAGAAATCAAATAGCAGACAATAGAAAATTGCCACTGATATCTCTTCTTTTCTAGAAAAAAAAATGAATGCAGTAGTTACTAGTTTTTTGCTTTAAAATGCTCAGTAATGCTCCTTATTTATGTATTATCCCAACACTGTGCAATAGCATTCTTTTATGTATTTAATGTTCTTTTGGGATACTTTTTCACATATTCCTTATAGCTCTACAGCTGAAATAAGTATTTTCCTAACTATTGTTTTAGCCAGTTTATTCAACATTTTGAGGAATTTGAGTAAAATCTGAGAATTTCAGTAATTGTAAAAACAGATATTTATTTTTATCAGTTTAATTTATTTTATTTTTGCCTTCTTTTTGATTCTTAAGCCACCATGCTTGGGGACATTATTCAGATATCTGCTACTGCTCAGCCCTGTTCTATTGATGGTGCACCGTGCGCCTTGGTCTGAAATGTTCTCTGGGCCCACTCTTAACTCTCTTCATACACTCCCCAAATAGAGAGTACGCATACAAATCTTGTGGATTCCCCAAACTACTTCATTAAGAAGTAGTTTCCGAGTCATTGTTGCAGTATTTATTTCTTGCCCTTCACTATATCTAACAAAGTCCATGACAACAGATAGAATGGTGGTCTTCTCTGCCAATGCAAGAGTCAGCCCCATTTTTGATTTCTTCCTATGAGAACAGAAGGTTAGGTGATGTCCTCCAACCACAATCTGACTCAAAAGTTCTGGTTCCCTCCAATCACGATAAAAAATTTTAAGTCCATTTTGAACAATGGATGTGAAGCAGCATTATTGATGATTTTCTTGCTAGAGTTTGAGTCTTATTTTGCACCATTTGACAGAACATTTAGTATTGCTAATTCTACTTTTGAAGTATTTTTCTGCTTAAAGAATTATATCCAAGGGCAATTCTGCTTACCCAAGGAATTGCTGACTGACAACCACAGGAGCTGCCTGCAAGTTAATGCTGAAGAGGCACCCGTTGTCAAGTTTTCCTTTTTTAGAGTCTTTACCGTGGTAAAATGTGTTCTTTATTATCTCAACTAGTATTTTAATAAAATATATGTGGAAATATTGGAACATATGTTTATATAATATGTCATCCCCTATAGCACACCTTCTGTCATCTCTGTATTTAATTTTATCAGTAGATATACGATATAGGCATATACTTATTACCAGAACTTTAATCTATGCATATCCTAAGTGCTGAAAAAGAAATTGTATAGTTAAAATCTTAAAAAAAAACTATATATAGGACTTCAATATAAATTGTAGCCCACACAACATCTCAAGCACATACTAGTTATTTTCTTTAATAAAATTATAAGATATCTGCTATTTCTAATCATCAAGTAAACAAGTCAAAAAGACCTCAAGTAACAATAAGAGCTCAATTTGAGACCATTTTGAGCTATTTTTTACAATTTTAATATTATTTTTCCCTTCTCTCAGGCATGCCAGTTGTTAAGTATCTGTTCCTTAAATGTGCATTATTACTGAGGACAAAGTCCGGTGCAGAAATTCCATCATCCAGTTCAATATTAATACCAAGTTCTCAGGAAAAATCCCTTTTTTTTGTATTTTACATGTTCTTATCAAATGTTTGCTTAAGTTTTAATTTTGCTCATCGTCATATAATTAACCAATGTCACCTCCTCTACCTCTTTAGTTTCACATTTGGTATATAACCCTACATCTATTTTCTAATATTTTTGAGGTGCTGCCATTTAATAAAGAGAGAAACTAACAAGTACAAATGAATGAAAGAATATGAACATGCTGTTTTAAGCTCAAAACCGTGTACTGTTCTGAAACCACTTGTCCAAGTTTCTTTTCTCAGAGTGCAAGTGCACAGCTCTACGGTAACTGGCAAAACGATTAATTGATTCAAAGTAAGCAACACATGCTACTTCCCCTGAAAGGAAGCCTGGGTTGCAACAGAAAACTAGACCAAGTGGCACCTTGCTTTGATCCAAATGATTCTGGAAGCAGATAGATATAAGAAGACACCTTTTATAGCATCATGCCAGGAAGGTTAACTGCTTTTTATGCTTCAGAGTCACTCTCACTGTCTAGGGAACATCATGCTTAAATTGAAAAGGGCACATCTTTTTGGGTTAGCTGTTGTTGTCTCATTAATGAAGGAAGCCACGCTAGTCCTTTTAACCATTTATGGCTTGTCATTCTACATTCTATATTGACAGAGAAGCGATTATATCTACTTGGTTCATATAAGTTCTGCAAACTAACTGAAAGTCAGAATAAATATTATTAGACTTTATCATGTAATGCACATCCATTTATTTATACTGCATATGAATAAAATTATACAACATTTATGTACTTCTTTACCCCCCACCTCCTTTTTGGAGAAGGGGGAGCGGTTGTCAGTCTTTTCATTTGGATTATGTTGTAGTCAGGAAAAAATGAAAATGTATTGGTATTCATAGGTGGGATCCCTATGTGTGTGGCTGGAAGTTGAAGTCCTTTTGCTTCAGCGACTCTCTGCATTCACACCTTTCCCTCCTTCCATCCTGGAATAACAAACACTCTTCTTTGGATTGAGTGAAACTGGGAGTGAGTAGGTAGGACTGTTGGAGGTATAGTTGGTGGCTAATTTAGTGACCGCTATTGCTGGCACCATCAAATGGGGTTAACAAAGGAGATGTTCTGCGTCTTTAAATGCACAGCCCTCAGCTCCTGAACATTTGTACTCATTCTGTAGTACTTTTTTTAGTGTCAATATTCAGATGTCGGCCTAGACCCCTAATAACATTTTCACATAGTCATTATATGCAAAGATCAAAGAGGAAAGATGTTTTTGATGGCTACCTCACAATGGAAATTGTTTAGTTCTTAATTGTGCAGCTAGAGAAATTCAATAGGACTTGGATGTACTTATAAAAATGCATTAACTTGCTATTGCAGTATAAAAATAACCATAGACTTTGCACCTTCAGACAGCACCCACTTGCCTGACAGTGCTGTTAAACAGGGTTGGTTCTCCACTCTGGTCACAGGAGGCCGGAATCAGACTGGAGGCCAGTCCGAGATCTAACCTGCGAACTCTGGGGAAGAATCTCCTCCAAGCTCACTCAGGTTGGTGGTTAAATTTAGTCTCTCACCGTTGCAGAAAGAGATCCCCATTTCCTGGTTAGCTGTCCGCTACCCACCCATCTGTTTTCAGCTCCTTATGGTTTGTCCACGTTTCTCAGGACACGGTGTGTCTATCTTCCAAGCCAACTACAGCATCTCAAATACTTCAATCTGACCTTTTCTTCACCTCTCCTCTTTAATACCAGAATATACCTCAATTCTTCCATTTGTGCCTAGAAAATTTCGAGAAATAAAGTCTGTTTTGTGTTAGACTAGAGAGCAAATGCATCTCAATCAATTTCCCTTTTGACAATTAAAACATGACAATTTTCACTGTCCATTTGTTATAAGAAAAGTAATGTAGCAACTATTTTTTCCTAAACTATCTTCCATAGCCAAATGATGCCTGAAGGATTCTTAGGGACCCCTGACAGTCTAAGGCTGTTGCCAACTAATGTCCCGCCATGCTCTGGGCGAATCTCATCTTGGACGCTACACAGAGCTCTTCCAGGGCTGCCGCAGTGTTGGAGTGGATTTGACACAAACCCCCTAGGAAGAGTAATTTGACCTCTGGGAGAGGAGGGCAGAGATTTGCATTTTTATCCAGCATTCAGTATTAGTAACATTTTCAGAGATTAACTATATTTAGAGTCAATATATTTTCCCCCAAAACCATAGAAACTGTTGATCTTTATTTAGGGGACTTTCTCTATGATTCTAATTTACAGATAGTTATCAGGGTTGTTTTTTCACAATCCCAATTTTGGCTAAAATATATATTACCCTTTCAGACTTTAAAAAGTGCCACATTTTTAAAATGGTTATGGTATTCAAAAACTTACAAAAAAGAGTGAAATATAGGCTTATACAAATTGTACATCATAGCAAATCATTGTATGATCTCAGCATTGATTTTTATACTATTTACCATACTTTCTTTAAATTCCTAGTTTATGCACGGGGGAGAGGGAAGAGAAAGGTGGAAGGGGACATAGTGATGGAAAAAAATAAAATAAAGCAAAATTTAAAAATAAAATTCTAGTTTACTTATGTTTGGCTATTTACATGAATGTCTGCTTTTCTTTCAGTGATACAATATTTGATCTCACTTATATTTCTCTTTTGGATAATACAAAAGAGAAGACTGCATAGAAAAAGGTAATTTTTTTCACCCTTTCACAAAATTGTTTCAAGTCCAATTTATGGGTTCCCCTTCAGTTTCTCATTTGGTTTTAGTCAATATAAAATTGTTCATTTAACATTGCACAGTTTGACATTTTCCTCAGTAATATTTGAGATGAGGAGTTCTGACTCACACTTCCTAACAGGAGGAGAGACAACTTCATTTCGGGAGCTTCGTGCGTACCCTAATTCTCCTGCTGAGCTCTCTATTACCCTGTAGGATCATAAGTGATTTCTGTATTATGTAAAATGCAGCATGAATCAAAGGTGGCAGATGCCACTTGGGGGCTTTATTACAGTTCACCTAATAAATTGTAAGGACAGTCAAGTCAGAATGAGATTTCAGAATGCAAAATAGCGCTGGCGCTAGTGGCTCACCTGGTGCCTGCTCTATTCCATGCTTGTTCCGTCCCGTTCTGGGGTTGCCTCCTCAGAGGAAGCCTGAAAAGTCTCCCTCAGTTCTCTCTCTCTAAGTACTACCTGCACATCTGTGATTCTGTAATCTCATTTTAAGTGTCTCTCGCAAATTGAATCATGCCCTATGAGGAGAGATACTGACGTCTGCGAGAAAAATAATAGTGAAGCACAAACTATACTCATTTGTGGCTAAATATAGTTTATAATAACTCCTCTTGGTGACAATAGAGGTTTCTTTTCTACGAAGTACATTTTTTAAATGTATTTTAGGCATATGGCTGAGAATAAAAAATATTTCCTTCTTGTCTTAGCAGGGTAACAGATAAAAATTGAAATGATGCTTTCTTGCAAACCCTAAAACATCACAATATATTTGGAAAAGACAGCTCTAAAGAAAAGGCTTCTCTTTGCTTCTTTAAAACACACTGTTACTCATGTCTTGCCAATCTCATTATGCTTGATTAATCAAAATTACATGAATATATAAAAATCAGTATATACAAAATACTCTTCAATGCTGGTGAAATTACAAAGCAAATAGAGAATGAGAGAATGTCCATTGTTTGATGATCTGTAAATTAATGCTTTTTAAAATGCATGTGTGTGATACTGAGTAGGTTAAACCAACTGAATTTTATGGGAATAAAATATGGTGCTGAGAAAATACAAAAGTGAAAGTGTCTTGGGAGTAAAGTTCCTATATTCCAGAGATCTGAGTCATATTGGAATTTTGGAAGCTGAAGACAAGAAGTAAAATAAAATAAAATAGTGTATTCAGATGATGCATTGCTGAAGGATGGGTTTGATTTGTTTTTGTTTTGTTTTTGATTGCTTGTTTGTAGTTGCTATAGAAAAAGATAAGGAAGATGGAAGCCAAAATAAAATATAATTTCCAATAAGAGAATTGGGGCAAGGTAAATATATCTTAAACATTCCTCCATATATAACACCATTTCACAAGTTATTACCTGGATCACCTAAATATTTTGGAATGATTCCAGGTGTACAGATAAACTGAACCCAATCATGGTATTATATTTCATTATAATGTCTAAGTAATGTTTATTATTATTTTTGTTTCACAATCTCAGTTAACTGAAATAGTTTTGACCATGAGTAGATTACATTTGAAATAAAATGGCTGGACCACTCCAAGCATCACCTCTATAATATAGTAGTTACTTCTAAGAAGATTATGTTACAGAATAACTATCCTCATCTGTCAACAACATCCTGCCCTGACTTATCACTTTATTTACGCATTAGACATCTGCCACAACCCAAAGTACTCTCCACTTACAAAAGGCGAACAGAGCAGACTCTCAAAGAACTTCATGTCAATCTGTTGTAATCGCCAGAATGAACTCTTGACAAGTACACGTTTGTTCAAATGCACTCTTACCCTGACGCCTTCACTAATATCTTGCAGATCAAAAGGAGCTTTGATTCATCAGTGGTCTGTGACTAATTCACCATGTGTGCAAGGGCAGGAGAACATCCAACTTTGCTTTAATACAACACTTCTTTAGGTAAGTGTCCCTTGAGTTCATTCTCTCTCCTCATCCTTAAAAGGATCCAAACAATAAAATGTGATTATTTTGATCATGTTAATTTATTTTACTTTTTATTTTTATTGATTTCATTGATCAGCTGCCTTCTACATGACCCACACTGGGAATCTGAGCATATGCCCTGATCCAGAGTCAAACCTGACCTCCTAGTTCATAGGTCAATGCTCAACCACTGAACCACGCCAGCTGGGCAATCATGTTATTTTAAAAAATTATATACTTATAAAATTTCAAATATTAGTATATAATAGATGTTTTCATAATAAGGAGAAAAGAAATAGAAATGAAAACCTGGGAGCTAGACAAGACAATGAAAGGAAAAAATAAAAGAAAATAGGAATATTTCAGAGTTGTTTCTTGAGCTTTTTTAATAAAGATTTTACATTAAAACATATCATTTTGAAGAATAAAACAATTAGAGGAGTGATATCTTTGCCCACCATTGAAATATGTAATTGGAGTATCTAATGGAATGTAGTTATGCACGCAGGACTCAGTCTTTTATATCTTCCCACTGAAGTTCTAATGAAAAAAATAAAACATAAAACTGTTTGCAATGCCAAAAACTCTTAATAATACCAGCCCATGAGTAGTCATGACTATAAAGGCAAGTTTGAAATCATAAACAACCAAAATATACTTGACCATCTCAAACTAAACAAATCATTGAACTAATTATGAAATAAGTTTTTCTTTTTAAACTAGAATTCGTTAGCTTCCTTCTCTCCCACCCAGGACAGAAAACCAGATTGTCTACATATCCCATTGTTATATGAATGCATTTTTTATAATGGAAGCTTATGAAAGTCTTAAAACTCCTCAATATCTTACATTCTCCATGAAAAATGTTTCATGGAATATTAGGATGAATAACATTCCAGTTTATCTTGAGTTAAGAATAAAGAGCAAGCAGAGAAAGGAAAAAAAATTCCTAAACTCAACGAATCATATTTGAATGCTTGCTAGAATTTGAGAATTTGACTATTAGCTGAAATTAAGATAAGCCATACATTTTGTCTATTTACAAGCACTGTCTTTATATAAGGATATTAATATCCCAGAAAACATACATAAGTAAAAAGGAGATCTATATGCACTAAAGAAAAAGATTATAAAAATGATAAATGACTGCAATCACAAAATCATTTTCAAAAGATGTTGGGACTCCCATATGTAGCATCTTGGTGGTTTAATGTACTAAAAGAACCACTCCATTGAGAGAGAAAAAACAACTAAAATTGTAAAGAAAGTAATAAAATATTAAAGTTAATCACTGACCGAGGAATATGCAATCCCAGAGGCCAAAATGAAAGTGTAACAAATAACTCTTATTAGTAATCATATACCTTAAGCATCTTCACCCTTAGGGTAAGAAAAAAAGGCTTATTAACTTGAGTTATGATGTAAAGATAGGAGCTATTATTTAAGTCCCTTCTGCAGAGATGGGGACATTAAATTATGACACTTGCAGTGTGGAGGTGAGCAAGAAGATCTGATTGTGATCCACAGAAGTGGTCAGCGGGGAAATGAGCCTGTCTTGTGTTTGTGGCTATTGTAACACACACACACACACACACACACACACACACACACACACACACACACTGAGTAGTCATAAGCATAATCCAAAGATCATGTGGAATTAAATACAATGTAAGTCACAAAGTTCAAACTACAATGATCTGAGATTAAGTGTTGCCCCAGTGGCCCAGCTGGTGTGCTCAGTGCTTGAGTGTTGACCTATGAACAAGGAGGCCATGGTTCAGTTACCAGTTAAGGCACATGCCTGGTTTGCAGACTCGATCCCCAGTTGGGGCGTGCAGGAGGCAGCTGATCAATGATTCTCATCATTGATGTTTCTATTTCTCTCTCTCACTCGCTTCCTTTCTGAAATCAATAAAAAAATATATATATATTTTTAAAAAGACTTGCCCCAGTGACTGGAAGAAGCATATGCAAATCCTGTCAGAGAAGCACAGCTTCCATCCAGACTTCATATATTTCCCAAAGAAAAATATCAGGCACATAGGTTCATTGTCAAAATTCTCATCAAAAATGAACATGAAAAAAATATTACAGAAGAGAGCAGATGTGTGATTCAGATCAGCATCGATTTCAATAATTAGAGTTATCAGAAACAAAATGTAAAATATTGATTATATATACCATGTATTAAAAAGTTAAAAATAGGAATATCTTAACAAATATACAAAATGACAAATTTGAAAAAAATCCTATCAAATAAAAGAGTAATATACAAATTGGCCATCACTCCAACATACAAGATGGCCGCCCCCATGTGGACACAAGATGGCCTGCAAGGGAGGGCAGTTGTGGGCAATCAGGGCTGCAGGGGATCGCAGTTGGGGACAAACAGGCCTGCAGGGGAGGGTAGTTTGAGGGAACCAGGCCTACAGGGAATGGCAGTTAGGAGTGACTAGGCCAGCAGGGGAGGGCAGTTAGGGGTGACCAGGCCTGCAGGGGAGGGAAGTTAGGGGCAATTGGGCTGGCAGGGGAGCAGTTAGGCATCAATCAGGCAGGCAGAAGCAGTTAGGGGCAATAAGGCAGGCAGGCAGGCAAGCAGTTGAGAGCCAGCAGTCCTGGATTGTGAGAGGGCAGTCTGACATCCCTTGAGAGGTCCCAGATTGGAGAGGGTGCAGGCTGGGCTGAGGGACACCTCCCCGATGCAAGAATTTTGTGCACTGGGCCTCTAGTCTCAATATAATATCTAAAAATAAAATAATTATGCAATCGGGGAGAATTAGTGGATTATTTGCATAGACTTAGTGGACTATCTAATTCAATTCCTTTAGTAGAAGATCTAAGGGGCTTCTAATTACAATAAAAAAACAATGGGCAATTTAACAGCAATCATACACCTTATCCATTTATAAGTACTGGCTCTTTTTATTCTAGAAGATATAATATAAAATGCATAAAGGAAACAGAACATTCTTTTATTATAATCTGTATTTCAGAGTACAGATTATAATAAAACAATCAACTACTGGAACTACAACATTAATTTAAATGTGAAGAAAAATCTGGAATATGGCACACATTAAAAAAAGATGAAACATGTGACATACAATTTAAGAAACAGAAGGTAAAGGGAAAAGATTTGATGTGTTTATTCATAGAGTCGGATGTTGATGGGTAGATACAAAAAGAATGAAGAGCAGGCAAGTAACAGAAATGCTTGTGAATTTTCTGCAGGTAAGGTCAAGTCTAGTATTAGTTGTAACTCCTAATGAGATATATTTTAAATCTAGACATTTTGAAACTGTAAGAGATAAACTGTCATTTTATTATGGTTACATTTAATAATAAACTTACTGATTTTAAGATGCAAACTAATATTTGGGTAGTTTTAAAACCTTTTTTTTCATCCAGAAATATATTTTTAGAAATGTGAACAACCACTTAAAAATATGGGCCTCATACATATCTCCTTAAGCCATGTAAAGACAGTAACAAAGTCAGACTTCTACCTAACATGATACAACATGTACGACAGAAAATACCTCAGCCCTGTCCTCAGAAGAAAATGAAAAGTCCTCAAGTGATGTTCACTCTCCTCCTTTGATGTCCTGTAACTTAACTATTTTGATATAAAGCCTATGCTTTAATTTTTTGGAGTTATTAATTCTATTGTGTATGCTAGTGTTCCTTTTATAACAATGCTGTATAGATGAGAATGAAAATGTCAATAGAATTTTAGTTATATTATCACTAGAGGCCCAATGCATGAAATTCAGGCAAGAGTTGGCCTTCCTTCCCCTGGCTGCCAGCACTGGCTCCCCTCTGGCTTCCCTCACAGCCCCAGCTTCGTCCGGAAGGTCCACCAGAAGGTCCACTGGAAGGACGTCCAGAAGGACTTCCGGTCTAATTAGCATATTACGGTTTTATTATTATATATATCATTGAGTGTACAGTCTCCCCCATTAATTCATTCCTCCACAAATCATTTTATTTATGAGGAAGATCTAAAAAAATATTTAAAACACAGTAATTAAATAAAACACTTAGATAATAAGCAAAATACATGTGCAAATACTGAGCAGCTGATTGGGGTATTTTCAAGCTTTTTCAGACATCAGTTACACTGTAATGTGCTTATGGATTACATTGTCTTCTTATATGTGATCCATGTCTGTATTAAAAGGATACTTGGGCAAATTTACTATGAATAGTGTTACCATTCAGTTACATAAAGACAACTGCTAAACCAAACTTACAATTACTGTTTTTTTAAATATGTTTTTTATTGATTTCAGAGAGAAAGGGAGGGGGAGACAGAGGGAAAAATAAATGATGAGAAGGA